ACAGAGATCATACTTTGAAGTTGTGGATCTCAATATTAAGTCCTAGGGGTTGTCTTAATGGTAACTGAGATGTTGTTCCTCCAACTCAAATATGCACTGCTGTTGCGTTCAAGGAGCTGAATGTTCTCTTGTCATTTTGCAGTGGCTTTGGTCAACAATTAAATGATTTTCCAGAAGGAGGAAATCTCTGAGATAAGTCATATATTCTTTCATCTTTGTGATAGCTGACTCCAGTGGCAATGACACAGGCCTGAAAATAAACACAAACTGTCATCCAGGATGATATAAACAACTGGAGAAAGTCGAAGGGGTGGCGGATGGAAAACAGCTTCAAATAAAAGCAATTAATACTTGGTTTTTATTTCAGATTTCCAGCATCTGCATTATTTTACCATTTTATAAAATATTTGGATCCAGTCTTGTGTTTGTGAACATTTGTTTAAAATTATAATTTTGGTAGGTATCATGTTTATGCTATAATTAGTTTGTTTTATAATGCTGTGTACAATTAAAAAGTCAAAGGTTGAAAAGCTGTTGACTACCTAACATACAGTTATAGTAAAACATGATGGTTATTTCACCAACATTAACTTGCTAGACATCAGCTAAAATATTTTTTGCTGTTGTGCTTGTACTGAAATTAATTTTATTGAAGACTCATCAAACCCCAGAGTAAATACCATACCAACTGGGTTAATTGTTACCATTATACAATTATACTAAAGGGAAGACTTACTAAAGAATGGTGCTGATCACTTTAATACTGGTTCCTAGTATTAATCCACTTCAGCTGAGCTTGTAAGAGGTATGAGTATGTTTGGAGCTTAGATGTTTTTATAATTTAATGTAATAAAAAAGATGTCCTACTGCATTTTATTGAAAATACTGATGCCAATTTTTCATGTATGAATCTGGATAATAAGTGCTGAAAAGATATCCCAGAGACAGTCCAACAGTTATCATCGGGAACTTTGGTTTACTATCTCCATCGCAGTGATATTCAGATTAGTTGCAATATTCCCAACTGTGTGTCATGTGTGAGATCAGCTAATCTGAACCATTGGAAAACTATATTTGAAAATTACTTTGAGAGGTCGTGGAGCCAGGAAACGTACTAGATGAACACCCATTCTTATTTTCTTTTCCTTTAGGGTGATTATATATTGTGATGTAATCTTTCTAAAATCACAAGGTTTCTTTTTCTGCCGACCATAACAACATTTTGATAAATATTTTTGATAAAATTTTAATGTAATTTAATACAATATAGTTTTGATAAGGCATGTAAGTGAATCTACATTGGAACAGTTCCACTGACTTCAGAAACAGTCATCACTGGTTTGTTTACAAGATATTGTAGATTGCAGTGGACTTAATGATAATATGGCACAGAATAACATGCACAGAATGCCTGTGTTCTGTCTGCTATCTGCTCCTTTTGACTCTTCTGCAATCTGATGTGGAAACACTGTTGGTTTAAGATGTCTAGCTAGAGATACAATTGAAAGCTATGAGAGTAAGTGCATTAGATATTATGTGGAACATGCTGATTCCCAAGTTTTGGAGAATTGGAATTATCTGTCACACGAAGAACTAACAATATGGGAAGTAAGTCAATTGAGTATTATGGGGCTATAGTTCATTTAATTTTGGGAGAGGAATAGTGAGGAACCACATAGACCCTTCTCAGATTATGAGGCTGAGTGGAGTGAAGTGGATTTGTGGAAGGAACAGACTTAAGGTCACATGACACTTTGAGTTCAATCAGATTATCTAAATCAGGAATATAGCTGGCCTGTCACAGTAGAATCAATGTCCTAAGGGTCTGAAGAATGGAATGGTGATTATTGTAGAAAATTCTCCTCTAATGAAATGAGAATATGATCATGTCAATTTACTGGGCAGGTACTTTAATTAGGAATTCTACCAGCTGAAGCCTTGTAAGCTCACACCCATTAATTTGCTTTTGGGAATGAGAGCTGTATAACAAGATAAGTGGGAGGAAATGTTTTTGGTTCTTAAATGATGGTAATCAAGTCATTTATTTGATATAATAACAGTAAAGCTGAAGAAATTCGGCAGGTCTGGCAGCACCCAGGGAGAGAGAAACTGAGTCAACGTTTCTAGTCCAATCCATATCTTCTTTGAAACTCTAGGAAGAGTCATGTTGGACATGACCCAACCTGCCAGCCTTGCTGAGTTATGTCACTTCTTTCCATTTCGGTTTCAGAACTTCAGCATTCACATTATTTTGCTTTGTTCCACTGTTACTAAATATACTCGCAGATCTTCCATGGCATTGTTCACATGTAGCAAGCAATCTACCTTTCTTTTTCACAATTCTGCAACATAGTATTGACTAAAAGAAATAAAAGCAGCAAACACTGGTAATACTCAGCACATCTGAGAGCATCTCTGGAGCTGTGACACTATGTTTTGCCCTCTGTCCTATCACACTGATGTTTTTATGTAAGTTATGATTTTTCTGGATAGCATGCAAAACAATACTTTTCACTGTATTACGATACATGTGACAATAATAAATCAAATCAAATCAAAGTGAACATGACCTCTAAGGAGAGCACTTTGTGCCTCCTTCTTCCAGCTGTTCTCCTTTGTGTCCCCTTTGCTAATTCTCCCTATCATGCTGCAAGCCCAAGGACCGGAAATTACTGGAAAATAGCTGACTGCAGCAAGTGGAATGAGTGGGATCAGTGAAACTAAACCAACTTCTTCAGATCTCTCCCCATTGACTTCAACAACTGTAAATAGTAGAACAAACTGCCAACCATTAATAAGAGAACTCCACAGTAGCCAGGAGAAATCAATTGGCATCTCACCTGAAAGCAGTTAATGATCTCTTTAAACTGCACAAGTAGGACCTCTTGTGGTGCAGTGGTAGTATCCCCACCTCTGGACCAAGACTCATAGAAACATAGCGTCATACAACACGAAAACAGACCCTTCAGTCCAACCAATCCATGCCGACCGTAATCCCAATCTAAACTAGTCCCATCTGCTTGTGCTTGGCCCATATCCCTCCGAACATTTATTATTCATTAACTTATCCCAAATGACTTTTAAATGTTAAATAAAAACCAAAAGAACTGTGGATGCTGTAAATCAGGAACAAAAACAAAGTTGCTGGAAAAGCTCAGCAGGTCTGGCAGCATCTGTGGAGGAGAAAACAGAGTTAACGTTTCCGGTCCGGTGACCCTTCCTCAGAACAGTGTGACTTTTAAATGTTGTAACTACACCCGCATCCACCACATCCTCTGGAAATCCATTCCACACACTAACCACTCTCCGTGTAAAGATGTTGGCCCCATGTCTTTTTTAAATCTTTCTCCTCTCACCTTAAAAATATGCTCTCTAGTCTTGAATTCCCCCATCCTAGGGAAAAGGCACCTGCCATTCACCTCATCTATACCCCTCATGATTTTATAAACCTCTATAAGGTCACCTCAACCTCCTACGCTCCAGTGAAAAAACTCCCAGCCTATCCAGCCTCTGCTTTATAACTCAAACACTCCATTCCAGGCAACATCCTGGTAAATCTTTTCTGAACCCTCTCCAGCTTACTAATATCCTTCCTACAACAGGGCGACCAGAACTGAGACCCGGGTTCAAGTCCCACCTGCACCAGAGGTCTGATAACATCTCTGAACACTTGATTAGAAAAATTGTTTAAATTTTAAAAAAACTGCACTGGTTCTACTTAGAAAAACACTGTTGTCCCTCCTCCAACTCCATGTTGAAGTAGCCTGCTCCCCCTCTCTTAACCTTTGACAGTTAGCATTTCCTTAACAGGCTTTGTACATAAATTATTGGATTAGAAAAAGGGTGATTTATTCATTGTCGTCAATGAACGGAAAAAGAAATACCATGGATGATTTGGTGATGTGGAAAAAGACGTTCACTTTTGTGTAAGTGCATCTGTAGATATAAAAGAAAAATAAATAGCACTGGGTGTTTTCTGTGGTGGTGTCCCGATCCCTGAGCCAGGAGACATAGGTTCAAGTCCCACCTGATCCAGAGGCGTGTAGTAACATCTCTGAACAGGTTGATTAATAAATATTGTTTGTTCCTTCCTGCTGAACACATGTTCAGAAGTGAGGTGAAAAGGGGGGAATGGCTGAAATAAAAGAAAACAAAATAACCCCCTCTCACCCCAGCATCTTGTTTGTATGGGTTTGCTCTCAGCAAAGCTGATGTACCATCTATCATCAACACTTACTTTTCATCTGTAGCTTCTCTCCAGGTCCGTTAGCACACCCTTCGCCTTTTGCACCTTTGCCATATATTTCTGTTAGCTCCTTCTCCCCGCTTTTTCCAAAAGCATAAAATCCATCACTTTTTCAGCCCCCTTCAGTTTCATAGAAGTCTATATTGGACTTGAAACATTAACTGTTTCTCTCTCCACAGATACTGGCAGACTGCTGGGTTTTTTTGGACTTTCTGATTTGATTTCATAATCTGGAATACTGAGGTCAAAAATGCCTCTGTTGGAGTCAACTCAGTGTTCCACACTGACTGATATCACAGTCTCCCTGCTTTGCATAGTACTGTTCACACTCCCAGCATTCAAGCTAATATCTTGCCTGGAATGGCTCTCAATAAAGTTTACACTGTACATGTTCACATGTGGAGTGAACATCACTTTGAATCCAAATCTGCATCCATTGTTTCAGAAATACAGCTGTTAAGCAATTGAATTTTACAGCCAGGATCTTAAGTTATGACCGACAACACTCAGCTTTAACTGGTTTTTCCATAGTTAGCTATTTTTCTGAAGAAAGCTTTTACCAATTGTTCATGAAGACGCCATTGTAAATTGCAAGCTGTAGCAGCACAACCATACTATCCAGCATATTCCTGAAATAATACGGTTGCTACTGTATTTGCCTTTTAGCCATGGCTACAGCAGATTTTACATTTGAAAAAGAATTGAAAACATGTATTGGAGCTCTTTATATTGATATTGTTCTTTTTTAATGTAGGACACAGCTGGGCAGGAACGTTACAGGACAATCACCACAGCTTACTACCGTGGCGCTATGGGGTTTATCCTAATGTATGACATCACAAATGAAGAATCTTTCAATGCCGTGCAGGACTGGTGAGTGTAAAGAAAAGTTTTTCTGTGCTACACTATTTCAGCAACTTTGGTGGGCAAATTATTGGAAAGGGCTCTGTTGCATTTGAACATGGACTGCTTCAGTATCTGAGTAGTCACAAATGATGAACATTGCAATCATCAGCTAACATTCCCACTTCTGACCTTCTGGTAGAGAGGTGATCTTTAATACAGTAGTTGAAAATGCTTAGGCCTATTTCACTACCCTCAGGAACAGAGATGTCCTGAAAAGGAGATAACTGATCTACAACAACAATGACCATCTTCCTTTGTGCCAGAAACAATCATTAGAATCCTCCTAGACACATGGATTGATCAAACGTACAAAGACTTAATAACTTACTAAGTCTTTCAGTGTAACTCTTGATCACTGCTTATTGCTTCCAGCTCACCCCTTCTTCTGACTGTCTTGCAGGGTGCTCCTCTCTCCAATCCCTCCAGCCATCCCTCTCATTTACATTTCCCTATCTGACCCTCCCAATCATTGCTTCCAACCCCAGCCCTCTCACTCACTGCCTCCAGCCCCTTTTGAATAGGAGCCTTTTATTGAAGAACTGGTATCTATGCTTAAAGAATTTGTTGTCTTCCCTCCTGACACACGCTTGAAGCAACACATTCATGTTCCACATCTTCCCAGTTTTACTCTTGCTAATGGGTAACACCAGAAGTAATCCAGAGATTGTTAGTTTTGAGATTGTCATTTTTAATTTCCTCCCCTAACCTGGAATTCTTTTTATTTATTCTTTCATGATTGTGAGCATTGTTGGTAACTTTCCTGTCCTTCTTGAGTCAGTGATGGTGACAACCTCTTTGAACTACTGAAGTTCATCCGGTGTAGGTAAACTCACAGAGCTCTGAGTTTATTAGATTTTTGTTCTCCCCCCCACCCCGCTATCATTGTGTTCTCACTCTTTGCCTGCTCTGTTGCAGCTCTTCTTCTCACCACAAGCCTTGCTGAGTGAGATTCACAGATTATTTATGTTGCTGCAGTGTTTGAGTAATGCAAATTTTATTGATGGAACTAAGGAAAATTATACCAATATTTAGTTATTTTTCTAACAAAGGCATGTGAAGGACATAAATTTATTTTTCATTCATCATTAGTGATAGGCAATACGTGCTCAGCTAGCTAGCAACATTTACGTTAATTCCGTTAATGAATAAAAGCAGTCATTTAATTGTTGAAGAAATTATTATTAATTCAACATTATTGTTAATTTTCATTTATAAGCAACTCAAGAGATTCACCAACATAAGACAAAATGAATATTTTGACAGGGAAAGGTTCCATATGTTTGTTTGCGTGCGTGTGTGTCAACTTGTTATTTTGCTGAAGTGAAAGGGAACAAATTTCTTCAACACTTCATCCAGTCCTATTATTAATTTTGAAAGATTCATATGATAGCCCCTTCGGTTTAATGCCAACTTCAGTTTTTATTTCAGCAGCATGCAATAAGTTAAAATGTTTCTTGACAGTTTAATAGAGGTAGCAGTCAACAGAGGCGTTCCCTGTTCACAGATGGAGGATTACTTATTTTTCTATTTAAAATTAAGTAATATTTTGTTTGGGGTTGAATGAGAGGATAAGATTTAGTAGGTGATTTAATTTAGTTGCTCACTGAAAAAGTGGAACATCCACTGGTGTTAGCTTATATTTATGCTAACTTCCTTTTCCCCTACCACTTGGTTTATCCAAACTAAGTCTAAACACCTCTCATCCATCTTGTGTATATTTTACCAGGAATCATTGATGATCCAAATGTGAATTCACAAACTAAGCTATGAGCAAAGAGTGAAAATTAATGTCCTCAGCACCATTACTGTGTCTCTCTGAACCATAGATTCTGGTAGAAGGAAGATGAATTGGCAAATTATTTAAGTATTTCTGTTCAAAAGCAAAGAGTTACCATGTCGATTCTTAGAGATTCGACTTCTACTTCTCAAATTTTTCCATACAGGAGGTTAATAAAATATTTGATAGATTCAGTTACTTTTTGAAAAATGATTTAAAAACGATGTGAAGAATGAAATAAAGGGTGCTCTAATGTTCACATTTTGAACCTTAATGCCTACGGATATAAAATATGGGTAATCAGTAAAGATATCAAATCTGGCTACAGCACCCTGGACTACAGAAAGAAAAGTCATGCTTCTTTTAATTAGAGTATTGTGATTGCTTGCAATGCAGATATGCAGACACCAAAAAAGAGGCTTTGACCTTCCTAACAGAACAAACAGAGAATTTCTATCATACAACAAGCTGCCAACTATCATTAGGTTGGCACATACAGAATAGGGCCTTAGGTGAGTACCACCTAGAGAGCTGAGCGCACTGATGGAAATGCATCCTAGGAGGAAAGGAACAGAGCAAGCACCTGAATGGGAATTTATTTTAAAGACAGACATCAAAATGTGGATGGAGGAAAGACCGCAGGACATAGCAGCAGACATTCAGCCCATCAAATCTGCTCCACCAATCAATGAGTTCATGGTTGGTCGTATAATCCTCACCTCTAGTTTCCTGCTTTATCTGCTTAATCCTTGAGTCCCTTACTGATTAAAAATGTGTCTGTCTCAGCTTTGAATACATTTAATGACCCCGCCTCAACAGCCCTCTGCAGTCAAGAATTCCACAGATTCACAACCCTCTGAGAGAAGAAATTCCTCCTCATCTCTGTTTTAAATGAGATTCTGAGTTTTTGATCCCTGGGCCTAGACTCTCCAACAAGGGGAAACAATCTTTCTGCATCTCCCCTGACAAGTCCTCTAAGAATCTTGCATGTTTCAATAAGACCATCTCTCATTCTTCTATATTCTCGCAAGTTCAGGCCCAATCTTCTCAGGCCAGTGCGGGAAAATAATCAGAGCATGTTATGAAAATCATTTCTGTACAGTTGTGTAAAATGTACGTATTTCAATTTAATATACTAAAATAAAACTGTAGTACTGAACCTGTCGCTGCTATCCTTTGAAGGGTCAATAGAACCAGATGATTTAAGAGAAAACTGGAATCCAAAAACTGAAGTTTCCAAAATCTCCAGTGGTGGTGGAATTGGGGAGCTTCAGTGGAACTGTAATGGTTGGAATGAATTGTGTCACCTTGTCTGAGTTAATTGTTTGATTCAGAAGGATATGGGTTCAGTACCAACTGCAGGACTTATGCGCAAAAGACTGCTGCATTTCTTTTTTGACTGAATTCAAATTTTCAAACTGGCATAAAAGAGCAAGAGATTTAAGAAAACAAAATGGAAATTGAAAAGTCAAGGAAGAGATTGTCAATTTGATAAAACTAATCCAGACTCAGGTTTGAGTATGCTGTGTATGTGAAAGCACAGTGGATGGTTAGCAAGAGGAATGGGTCAAAGGTTGGAGAATTTATGGGAGGAGGGCAAGCTGGGTATTACGTCTTGGGAAAGGGCCCAGGGGTATGCGAAGGAGAGAATTCCTCTCTGCACACTACCAGACCATGAAGAAAATCCATCTAAGCTGGTTTCTTATTGTGGGTCTGTTGTACCACCAGACAACAGCAGAGGATGGAGATTCTTAAGAGGGCATCAATTGTCTGTGTAAGGGCCTCAATTGGCCCAGTGGTAGGCATGATGCCTTAACCAATCCTGAAGCTTGTATAATTGCAGGAAACAGCAGGGACAAGTAAATAGTTGGCAGACTGGATTGAACATGTGCCTCTGCCTTCAAAACTGTCAACCTGGATACATTAAATCCAGCTCATACATGTGCAAGATAGAGATGTAGGGGTCGGCCATATATTCTCTCAAGCTTTCTCTGCTATTCCATAAGATCATGGCTGCACTTCTATACCTACCCCACTCCCCAGCCCCATCTGTATAATTCTCCACTCCATCAGTACCCAAAATCTATCACTCTTAATCTTGGAAATACCTTGGGGTGTTGTATTAAGTTAAAGTCAATACTCACAGATAGTACCTATGTTGGTTAGGCTTGAACAGGACTAAACTTCCTGGTTGTAAGATTTTTGGTAGAAATGGGAAGAGGAATGGAGCTAACAGTGTCTATGAAGCCCTCTATCAAAGTGCTAGAGCCTAAGGCTGTTTTGGAGAATTGTGTTTAGGTAGAAACAATTCAGATATTCTTTAAGAATAAAGAAAATAGAACAGTTATCTGCATATTACAGGTCACTCAATAGTAGAGATGAGATACGATAGATTGTGGGAAGGTAGAGAAGTGATTGCTAGGCCTCTTGCTGAGATATTTGTATCATCGATAGCCACAGGTGAAGTGCCAGAAGACTGGAGGGTGACTAACACAGTGCCATTATTTAAGAAAGGTGGTAAGGAAAAACTGGGGAACTACAGACCGGTAAGCCTGACGTCAGTGGTGGGTGTTGGAGGGGATCCTGAGGGATAGGATTTACATGTAAAAGTAGGTCTGCTGTAACATCTGTTTTGTTAATGCGAATTGGCTGTAATGCAGTTGATGAATAGTGGACGCTATTTGGATAACACAAACTTTCTACTGTATAGTATAGTGATTTTCTACAGTGTTTTCCCTTTGCCGCAATTTTCTGTGGTGATTTTCTATAGCATGAGATCAGACAAGAACGCAACTATCATGTTATAGGAGAATAACCTGTATTTGGAAGGGCAAGGGCTGATTAGGGACAGTCAAGATGGCTTTATGCATAAGAAATCGTGTCTCATTAACTTGGTTGAGTTTTTGAAGAAATGACGAAGAGGATTGATGAAGGCAGAGCCATGGGCATGGTTTACATGGACTTTGACAAGGTTCCATATGGTAGACTTGTTGATAAGGTTAGATCACATGGATTACAGAGAGAACTAGCCATTTGGATACATAACTGGCTCAAAGGTAGGAGACAGAGGGTGGTGGTGGAGGGTCGCTTATTGGAATGGAGACATGTGACCAGAGGTGTGCTGCAAGAATCAGTGCTGTTTTTTGTCATTTATATAAATGATTTGGATGTGAATATAGGAGATATGGTT